TTTTTTTTTTTCATGCACTTGTTGGCCTGCTGAATATCCTTCTTTGAGACATGTCAACTGATAATATCCTTTGGCCATTTAAAACCAAGTTACAAGTGTTCTCACTATTGATTAGTACAAGTTCCTCTATACTTTTGATATGACACCCTAGCAGATGTATGGTTTTTCTCCAGTTCTATATTTTGTCTCTCATTCTAATAATTGGCTTTTAGTACATAAGGTTTTCACTCCATGAATATGATTTATCCACTTTTGCTTTAACCATGTCTCAGAGCAGTTTTGTGGTGCTTTCTCCTATATTTTCTTTAGTCTTTTTTATGTATATATTACAATGGTGAAGATCACAGGAAAGAGTGGGCATTGTTCTCTTTTCTTAAAAAGATTTCAGCTTTTTCCCTGAGAATATGATGTCAGTGGTGGGCTTCTGTTATCTGGCCTTTATTGTGCTGAGTTACATTTCTTGTATACCAAGATTTTTAGAGTACTTACCATTAATGGTTGTGAATTTAATCATCTGCTCTGACCACATCTATTCAGAAAATAATTTTTAGTCCATTAACATTTCTGTTAATGTGTTATATAACATCAATTGATTAGCATATATTTAAACATCTTTAAATGTTTGCATCATAGAGATAAACTCTACATGGTCACTTGAATGATACTGTTAATTTTCACTTGAATTTTGTATGTTAGTAATTTTTAGAATTTTATATGTGTTTTTCAAAGTTATTCTCCAGAAAATGATTGATTTTGCCAGGCTTTGGCTTTCAGGGTACTGTATAACTCATAAAATAAATTTGTAAGTATTTTCTTCTCTTTGGTTTTGAAGACTTTGAGGAATTTTTAGAATTAGTTTCCACAATAATATTTTATGCATTTACTCAGTTAATATCCTGTGGGATTAGGAATTTGGGCTTTATTTCTTGAGGACTTAACTAATTGATGGGGACGGATCATTATCATATGGAAATACTGCAAAGGAAGGGGAGTATATATTAATATACACACATACTGATAGAGATGATGATATATAATATACCTATATCACCAGAGAGCAAAAAGTAAATTCAAACTCATACATCACAGTGCAGGAAAGAGAGTAACATAGACATAGCATTTGATTCACTAAATCTCCCTTATGTGATATCTTCAGGGATTAGCTCTACAAAAGAGAAATGCAATCCATGTAATTGGCTTCAGCACAGAAGAATTGGTAAAACTCTCACACCAGAAAGATATTTCATGACTAGAATAAATCATGGCTAGACACAATCTCATATTTATTTACAAGAAAGTAATCAACGTACATTAACAGAAATGACTTCCAAACATGATCCATCATGAATAAAAGAGAACAAAATACAATGTATAACACACCTGTTAATATGAAGAAACACATTAAGAGAGAACAATCATATATAGTGAGTATCAACAAAGATAGGAAAAACATAGCTGATTAGAAGGGCTCATTAAATTGATGATCATGGTGCCTCAAGTAACACTAGTAAGAAAAATCATACCAGTCACAAAGCTGCTCAGTGCTGGTGCTGGAAACTGAGTTCCAATTTTCTCATTCCACAGGCCACTTTTGGTCCTACCCTCACGGGGCCCTGAGGCAGTCTGCCCCTGCTGGTTTAGGCCATCAGCTGTCCCTGGGATTGACACTGAGCTTATTATGGCTGCCTGGGGTGGGAGCAAGCAGAGAGACCAGTTAGTACTTGCAGGACAGCAGAACCATCTGAGTCTGCCAAGATCACATATCACCCCCTTGCCATCCAGCACCTGCCCAGCACCTGGAGTCCTGGTTCCCCAGCAATCACCCCACCAAAGGGTGTGGGGCTAACCAGGGAGCGGTGGCCACAGGCTCTCACAGCTGCCGGCCAGGAAGACCTTCTCCCCCACCCTGGGCTTTCACACACCTCCAGGCTGGCCCTCACCCGATCTCACTGAGCCACTCAGTGGAATGGAAACAGACCTCAGATTCCTCCTCCCACTCCAAATCGTCTCACTGGGAACAGCTGCCTCTCTTGAAGAGCTTTGACTTCCCAGGGTAAGGACAACAGGCAGCAAGCCCACAGGGCCTGCACTGAGAATGATGTGGGGACCCTGGGAGAGGAAAGAGGAAGGGGCTGGTGTCCTGGACTTCCTTCCTTAAGGGGAACCTCCTTCCCTCAGTCTCACCCCAGCCCCAAGCTCTTCTCAGAGTTGGGTTCAGAGAGTCCCTGCCACAGAGTTGTACTCATTTCTAGTCCCCTACACACACCTCCCACTGGGATGTTTTTATTCTTTTTGTGTGTACAAAACCTTCCTAATAAAGCCCCAGGGGACAGAGCATTCCTAGTCTCCCCCTATTGTGGCACCCAATTTACTTTCTTCATTTTATTAAAGTTGATAAGGTTTCCATGGAGGGAACCCAACCAACCAATGTCCATCATGAAGATTATACACCAATAACACCCCACACCCTGACCCTGTCATGAACTCACTCCAGTGCCCACCAGGGTCATGAGATGTCCATGATAAAGCCCTGCAGCAGCTCAGCCTTTGGCTCTGGAGGAAAGGAACATTGGAACTGAGCTCTGGGGCTCTAATTCCCAACTCTCTCTGAAGACAGGGAAACAGGCCATACACAGGATGGGGGTAGGGACCACATACATATTTCCTACCCTCAGAGGGTCTCGACTTCACTCTATTCTCATGGTACCACCTGAAAGAGACTATTGTCAGCTCTGCTAAAATCCAATGCAGCTCAGCTGTTGGCCAGCTTCACCACGTGGAGAACAGGGTCACAGGCTTCTGTGCAGC